TTAAGTTCCCATAATGGGTATATGTAATAATATATAGTATAAATCACAGGGTTGCCCCAATAGAGTAACTTAAATTAGGTCCCTTAACAGCAACCCTGTGTCCTCCAAACCAATAAACTCGTAATGCATTGGCATCATGCTCAAATTGCTGCGGGAGCACTGTTTCAAAAATCTTTTATCTATCGATAAATGGAGCCTATGGTGGAAATGGACAAACCCCTCGAATTTGATCTAAGAATTAATGTATTTACCAACTTTTAGCCTCGAGGCCTCCGAAATTGCACCCACCAACTTCATTTTGGGGTTCCCAGGGCCTGCCAGGGGTAGGGCCTCCGAAAGCCTCCCACTTCAAACACCCACATTAAGGCATTGAGCCCTCTCTGTCTCAATCAGTCAACGGGAATTTGGGTAGCAGAAGGGATGGACAACCCTAAACCCTAAACCCTAAGCCCGAAGCCCTAAACCCATGAGAAGTTCGCATTGTGTGGCCCGGGGCTTCGACATGAGCACGCGCCCTGTTCTGCACCGCAGCTCAATCCGACTCAATCCATATAACCCCCCATAATGGAGAATCAAATGGAAAAGAACATGGAAAATGAAATGGAAACTGGGGGAATATAGGGCTTAAGGAACTTAAATTAAGTTCCCATAATCCCCAAGGAAGGAGTTGAGGATAAGTATCTCTTGAATTGGTACTTTCCCAAAATGGGGGACCCCAATGTAGACCCAAAATGCTGTAATCCTTATTATGGGGACTCCCAAAAGGGTACCCCTAATTTTGGGAAACCCCCAATTGGAGGTTGGCCCGGTATCATTTCGATTCAAGCTGTCGCAGCTGAGGTTCCCCGGTGAAGAGGGCAGAAAGCTCTGGGCTGGCAAAGAAGAGGGAGCCCGCCGAATGTCCTGGAAGATGATAAGCCTGGAGGCCAACCTCAGCTGTACTTCTTTACAACTTGACATACTTTAGGGTCTTCCTATAGTACCGGTAAAGTGTTTACACTAAGACTTCCGCTGTAGACTGTGGCTATTACCTTACAGCGTCGAATTTGGCCAGTTTGCCCCAAGTTCCCAGGGCCCACGGCCAGACAGCTCCGCCTCCAGGCCTTGTCCCCTGCAGTCGTCGCTGTGCGCCACACGGACCAGCTCTGGAAAGTCCCGCTTCCACTGGCCATGGCTGCTCATGCCCACCTCACACTTTCAGTCCGAGCTGCAGCTCAATGCTTCTCGGAAGCCGACTGCGGGCAAGGAGCAAAATCATCGTGTGTCAGCAGGAGGTGCGAGAGCCCGCCTGGAGCTTGCCGCCGCACCTCTGCTGCCAGCTCCTGCACAAAAGGTGCCAAATGCTGCGCCGGCCACTTGCATTACTTTAAAGCTGTCTGTCAGGTGAGTAGTACGGCACGTCCACGAGAACCGCCTTCTTGTTCGGAAGCACAAACATGTGGCCCCAGGGTCCCAAGCCAGATGGGACACTCACCCATCGACCAGGAATGCGGACAATGCCTGGTCGAACATGGCAGCAATCGATATCTACGATGGCTCAGTCTGGGCATGCAAGGGCTCATGAGACGTCGAGCCTGGCAAAGTCTCCACAAAGGCCATGTTTGCAGCGGCTACACCCACGGCAGCTAGCACGCCTCCCATCTTCTGACCTTCAGTGCTGTGAGAGCCTGTCTGGCGACGCGGCAAGCGGCGAGGACATCCTCCTAGAAAAGCCGTCATCCACTAGTTATTAGCTACTTGATCTCTGAGACATCGCGCCAAGCGCTGCACATCGCTGCAGTTTTGACTTTCGTCTCGGCAGCGTCAGACATCCCATGTTAGAACACTCGATTTCAAGCATTCAAGCGCGAGACTTAAGCATACACCGAACGGAGCTTCCGAACACTAGTACTCAGAATAAACGTGCGCTAAAGCTCTCAAGGTTTAGAAGCTGCTGCCCATGGCGCTCATGGCGGCCCTGCCAGCAGGTCATCAGCACACGCAAGTACCAATTCTGAAGACAAAGATGAGAGCTGGGCTGGGACCGGCTGGAGACCAGCTCTAGCAGCAAGCCGAGAGAGAAGCTCACAGGAAGGAGTTTACTGCGTTGAGTCCTTGAGCTTTACATGCTGTGAGAGGCTTCCAGATTGCAGAGCGGTTAGGTTCCATTGCCTGCTGGAGTGCTATGTGAGCCTGCGCTGATGCCAACATTAAGCTGACGGTATCCTACAACCCAAAGCCGAAACCAAGTACTTGCACAAGTCTGGCCTGCATAGGCTCGCTAGTGGTCAAGTTAGCTTGAGAAAAGACCGCTCCCCATGCAATATGTACAATGTGTAGATATCATCTCACAACATACATATTTACACTGATCCACATACCGCGTTACCGTAGTGCCGGTCCTAGCCGTGCATGAATCCATTACACAGTTAATAGTTGTCATCCCGGGCCTGCGAGCCAGGCACCGGATTTCCAGACACTGTACTACAAGGTACAAGAACTTCAGGGCCAATGGCTCAAGGTCCTCCCGAGTACAACCAAATCAACATCGATGCCGTGTCTGCTGTAAGGTCCCGTTGAGATTGAGTGCAGCATTCTGTCTCTGCGCGAATGCATTTATTGAGTCGGATGTGCGAGATCCTGCGTTGACGCACCGTTGTCTTCAGGCCCTATGGAATGAATCCTGAGACCAAACAGCTGCAAACAAGGGCGCTGCCTCGCTCCATTAGCCAGCTATGGTCCTGGGATGTCCTGAGGGAGGGTTAGGACATGTTGATGCAAGACAATGTGCTGAGCTTCGCTTTCTCTCGCAGCATTTGCTCAGCCAAGGTCTGTCTCGACAACCCAAGTACCACTCAGGCAGTCGCACAAAGAAGTCATCTCAAGGCACGCGAAACCTGATACGCGGGCCCCGATGCCAAGAGATGCGCATAAGCGAGGCCTGGGCGGATCTCAATTTGTAGCTGCCACACATATATACCCGAATATGACCCCAATATAACCCCTATATACCCTCCACAGTCAGGTAAACTGACGCAAGACCATGGCGCGCCCGCCCCACTCTCAGCTCTTCTTGCAGCCCTCGCCGTCCAAAAGTGGATCCATCCAAGCTGCCACGCAACAGATTCCTGTCAGGACCCTCCCAGTACCCTTTATTGGGCTTCTATGGCCCCTAATAGTAGGTACTTAGGCCTAAATAGAGGGTAGTTGGAGGGCCTAGGCTCAGTTTATGCTTGACATTCCTCTAGTGGAATAACGACCTTAGCCTGGGAGCCTTACCCAGGTGTGGATCCAATGCCGGCTATGAATCCGCCCTAGTTTCTGCAAGCAATTTGTAGCAATAAAAGCTGCTAAAAACCCTAGTATATACCCCAATACAACCCAATATATAACCCCAATGTATACCCTAATACATACCCCATTAGAAACCCTACTATATATACACCAAATATCGGATTTGTCAAGTGGCCAGTCACCGCCGCACCCATGAGATGGCTGAGGGGCGCAGTTGCAGATGGCCCCCCCGCGGTCAGGGCCTAGCATGGCCGAGGCTGCGCAGCTCTTGGTGGGTACTAGAGGGGTAATATTGGGTTTATATGGGGGTTTCCCAAAATTATGGGTACCCTTCTGGGGTCCCCATAATAAGGATCATAGTATTTTGGGGTCTAAATTGGGGTCCCCCTATTTTGGGAAACTACCATATAGGGATAATGGAAAGGAAAATGGAAGCTCTTAGGCTTCCCCAGAATACTGGGGAGTTCTTCCAGGATGACCAATGCCTGCAAACTGATCACAACTCCAGAACTCAAATACAAGGATGGTAGCGGCCAAGGAGCTGCGTCAGAAGAGGCGACGGCCAGCATCGCCGGAGCAAGGATGCGGAGCCCACTGGGCTGGAAGAAGAAAAAGGCCCAGGTCCCAACACCTGATATGCGCAAAGGAACACATCTTTGGAAAGCATCCGGCTCTATAAGAGACGAGAGAGAAAACGGGAACAAGAGAGCATCAGATCGGAAGAGTTGAGAGATTTTCAACTGACATGCAAACTGCTTCTCTCAACTCTTCTGCAGGATTGACTGAACCGCGTGGGCCACCTCTTATACGGTCTTATGCCTGCACAAGCCTGCACAGGATACGAGCCATTTACCAAACCTCAACACCGCGTCCATTTAGCACGAAGGTCATGCATGTAATGCTAACCTCACACTACGAAGCCCCCTTGTATCCACAAATCCAATTCCCAGAACAAAATTAAAAACTTTCCTGATCTTCCCTGTATTTACAGAATTCAGTCGGACGAATCCCAAAACCAATTGACGACCTTTCCTGCTTGAAAGCTACTACGACCCTACTCCTACGCTCCGGACTTGCGGCCTTGTGGCAGTAGTCTACCTAGCGCAGACCATCTCTAATTATGGAGGTTGGGGTCCGGGGCGCCCCTAGGAGCCGAACATTATGGTTGAACTTCCTGAAAAATGCTGGCAACGAGCCAGGATGTGCAGCGGCAGGCAAGAGAGCATCTAGTCAATCTGGTCTACTCAGAATCCAGTTCTATTGAACCGAGGCACCCAAGAACAGATCCCGAATGCCGAGCGCCTTGACCTGACACGCGCGCAGCATTGGGCTTGGGCCAGCAAGGGGAACCACTACGCGTGATGTTTCAAAGATGGGAAGCCCCGCCCCGCAGATGTCCTCCCAAGCCCAACCCAGTGCTTGTAGGACTTGGGCTCAGGTGGGGACGCTCTCCATTGCCTTGTCTACTGGGGGCACTCACGAACCGAATCCACCACGCAAACGGCATGCCCGATTTTTGGATCTTATCCAAGTCCCTGTTGGGAAGGATGTTATTGATGCTCACACTTAAGAAATTGCTCCGAGACCAAGGAGGTCAACAGAATAAACCTTCAGAACGCACTCACTCATTCGCTCACTCAGTCAACCACACACAATACGCGGCATGCGGCTTCTCTTCATTGACTGTTGAACCTTTGAGAGCTTACATGCGTAGGCGGAACAACTTGGAAGCTTTGAAAGCTCATGTGTGGTTTGGGGGATTGCCTTACTTCACAAGCCAAGCTGCCCAGCCCAGCGCTGGGCTTGAGGCTTGCAAGGGCAGGCCGTACCTCAGTTGCAGCGCGTCTGGAACTCCCAGGTCGTGAAGCTTTTGATGGACTTGGACCGTTTCCATTTCATTTTCCATTTTCTTTTCCATTTGATTCTCCATTATTGTAATATATACCCCAATATGACCCTAATATATACCCAATATATGGAGACAGAGGCCTTGCGTCCGAAGCACATCTCTGCAGAGGTGGCCGGGTCTGCCAAGCAACTGATGCCCAGCCCTGAGGGTTGGAAGAGGTTGAAAAAAAAAGGCCCTAAACCCTAAACCCTTTCATGCGTAAATTGGAGCTCATGGGCGGCAGCTCAAGTTTCTTGCCAGTTTGTGGACATGCCTTCGGGCTCACAAGCAGCCAAAGACCCTGCCTACGCCAGCCAAGCCGATGAAGGTGGCCGACAGCTGGAAGGTCATGTGAACGAGGCGCTGATGTGTGCAAAGGGTCGCAGCTGATGGCATAGCTGCAAGTAGGCTTGCAAAGCTACTCACGCGGCACGCCTTCAAGATATTCTTGCTCGGCCAGACTGGGTGAGGCTTTTTTCCGAGCCAGCTGAAGCAGGGCAGATCCGTGAACTTTGGCTATTGCTTATACAACTGTAGACAACCCATACATGCGAAGCTTGCCCAGCCCACTCGTTTTCACGATCCATCGTCGGCCTCCAGAGGACTTTGCCCGCTAAACACACAACCCTTCATGTTTGTGCGTGTGTGCACGTTGGGCAGGAGAGGCCAGCATGAACTCTGCTGCATATGCCGTCTTCAGCTCCTATACAGAATGCATCACGAAGGCTTCACGACTGTAACGCAACAATCGACAATCCACAACACAGAGCCATCATGCACTGTACATCTCTCAAGCCAAGATGCATATGGCGTGAAAACACGCGTCTACGGTTCAGCCTTTAGGGTGCACTCACCTCACCAGACTGGGAAGCCTGCTCCAAGTCATCTGCTACCTGGTAGAGGAGCTTCTTTCGTTCTGCAGGGCTCTTGAACTGCATGGGTAGGCCATGGCCAGGAAACCAGTACTTGTAGAACGGGGCATGGTCTGCAAAGCCGCGCAAGGACATTGATTGCGCCTTGCAACTGAATCTTGCCATCTCCGGAAAGCCGGTGAACTTCCCCTGCCACACCCCCGCAGAGTCGCCTCCAAATGTTGTGTTCCGACTGTTCGAGCTCACTATCAAGGAGCCTTCTGTATGCCCTGAAGCGGCATGGATTTGGAAGTTACCGACGTTCCAAGGTCCATGGCCACCCAACTTCTCGATGCCACCCTTACCCATGGCATCGGCTTCGTGAGCAAGGATTCGCACGGTCTCAAAGCTCTTGCGCCAATCGTCCGTCTCTGCCACTCCCAGAAAGTCGCTGTGCGTGAAGATGATCCGCAGTGCTTTGCCTGGCGCCACTTTCTTAATCCGCTCTACCAAGTCCTCTGAATGGTATGAGATGTCGATGAGAGTCACTCCGTTCTCATCATCAACAAGGAAGCCCCAGGGGATGCGCAGGTCTGGGTCCAGGCACTTGATTCTGTGCGCCAAGCTCTGAGACACGTGGGAGGTGTCCACCTGTCGCCTTCCCGGCAGTCCCATGCCTTGAGGCACATAGTAGCCGAGCGAACCGCCGACAGCGTCCCATTCGCCCCCAGGGATGGCATAGATCCCTGGCACGGCAGTCTTCATGAAGCCTGCACGTTGGAACCTGTCAATGCAGGCAAACAGTGTTGCTGCGTTTGTGTGGGCAAAATAGATCGCTGCGACAATGGCTAAAAGCCTTTTGCGCATACGGTTCCACTTCATGGCGGTCAGATGTAGCCAGTTCGAAGCAACCCTCAACTCAGAGCCTGAGCCCGAAACTCTGTTAGTGACAGCTGAAGCTTTCGCAAGACACAAAAAAGCTGGGGCTTCTAAGCTATACTACGAGACTGGATGCGCCGCCCTAGTGATAAACATAGCTTTGCCAAAGCGAGAGCCGGCACTTGGGGACAAAGTGTGAGACAAGTCAACAAGGGGCTGCCCTCACAAGATGCATGACTGAAGTGAAATTGCAAAGCAACACCAGCAGAGCAGCTACCAATTTTCAAGTCCTGTTGGACGCCTTCGGTTCTCAAGAGATACAGCTGTACAAAGGGCAAGACAGGACTACACGCTCCTTGCCAAACCAAAATCAAATGCACTTCGGGCTCAACTTCTGCAGCATGGGGACAGTTGTCAGCATGGCTGCGGAGGAGGAGTCCGAGGAGAGAAGCATTGCGAAAAGCATTGTTCAATGCAATACAATGCCTAGCGGCGTAGCGGTACATCCGAGTATGAGCTCCAAGCATTGGGAAGGGGTCCTGTCACACGTCAGGAACTCTGCGGCCGAAAGTGGCTGTCACTTCCCAGCAAGGTCGGCTGCCGGTGTCGGCCAGGATTTGCTCGACGACTCGCCTTTGCGGCAAGCTCCCGATCTCGTGCACCTCCGGTCAATCGTGTTGCAGAGCGGAGCTACAGAGCTACTAGCTACTAGCGGAGCTGGATTCCACACACAACGGGCCTCTATGGTCCATTCGTCAATGAGTACGCGCAGTAGCGCCGTGACCGCCTCGAGCGAGAAGCCTGGGTGACGCATCACTGGCAGATTGAGGGCAAACCCTCTCGGAGGCCAGGAGACACAACATACCAGCATGATACCAATGTTGTTGGATACTCCATTGTGGCATTGGTCAGCTTTCACACTTTCGGTTCTACACGGTTCTACTGTATTTGGGATGTTACGTGCTTCAGGGATTGCCTTGGACTCCGACTTTGCATTGGGCACGTGGCCTTGCCGACGCCGAATGGACAATAATTGTCAATGCGCCCAGTGACCGGACAGGTCCTGTCCATTTTGGGTCGAAGTCTCGTGAGAAACTGCAAGTGACAGGAAGTCCTCCATCTGTTCTCGTCGAAGTTGTCTGCTTTTTCCCAATGCGATGCGTTCAACTGCAACCTCGAATCATTCAGCATTCATCAGCACAGTCCGGCCAATGTCTGCACACCGTTGCAGCATTGTGGCGCCGGCGCCTCTCGCACAATGTCGGAATGCCTCCAAGGCACAAGGCAGGAAGCACGATGACCAGGGCGCCTTTGGGGATGTCGACTCCATTGTAGGAATCGCCCTTGCCACATTTGTACGGCATCAAGAAGGGGCTGCTCGGTGGGTGCAGGCGAAGTTCTTCCTTGATAACCCCCGCCAGTCGGCTGGGGTCAGAGCGAAGTGCCACAAGCAAAGCTGGCTTCGCTGCCAGGCGGAGAACGACCCAGAACACCAGATTGGGCAGGCTCTGCTGCCCAAGGAAGAATTGAGCCATCAAGTTGTGGGCAACTTCCTTCTCCATGTCCCTTGAAGTCATCTGCTCTTCCGCATGAGTCACATGGGCCCAGTTTTGCAGCATATTTTGCCGCATATGCTGAACGAGGCCTCCTTTGCCGCCTCTCGCCAAGATCCGGTCGCGCAACTTCTCCAGCGCCTGCACTTCATCTTCACCTGGGCCCTGGAAGTTGTACAGTCCGCCGAAAGCCCTATTCGTGAGATTGAGGTACTGGCGCACAGACCTCAGCATCAGAGAAATCCGCGCTTGAGTAGATCTTGGGTCAAGTACATGCTGCATGCACCGCGCATAACTTTCAAGGCTGAAGTTTCATGTGAGCTGCATGTCTTCCTCGTCCTCCAACTCATAGTCGCCTATGAAGCGCAGCTGGACCACCGCCATGACCTCCTGGAAGAGGTCGAAAAGGTTCCTTGTGCAATTTGCCTGCAAGCGGCCTTCCAGACAGGTCTTCACTCGCTGACGGATCTCATCCTGTCCAGGCTCATGCCGAGTGGGCATATGCATCCAGACATAATCCATTACAGTTGTTTCCATTTTCTTTTCCATTACCCCGTTATAACCCAAATATTACCAAAATATAACCATAATATAATCCCAATATAACCCCAATATAACTCCTCAGCTTCTCAGGAACTGCCCACCTTCAAGTCCTGATGATGGAACCTAGCAACGAAGGTCTGAAACAGTTCTCGCTGTCTGCGGTGTACTGGGCCAGACGGCTGGAACCAGATCGAGCGCTCCTTTGAAAGGTGAGGATGTACATATGCGCAAAATCGGAAGCTTTAGTACTTGATGGCCCCGTAAGCCATAAAAGCCTTAGCCCAAGCCGAAGCCAACATCCACATGAGCCAGCCCAAGGCGCAAGAAACTTCTCCATGAATGAGTGCATTCCCCGAGTGTGTGTCAGAAGCACTGCCTCGGGAATATGGCTCGAGTCCTCAGAGCGACAAGAACGCTACGAGAATGGGCAGGCTATTGTCTGCCTGCACTCTTCTGAAGTTAAAACGTGACAGCCAAGTGTCACTGGGATTGATGCGCTGATACACCCCTCGCTGGCTGCCTTTAATCACATGATTGATCAGGGCTTGCTCGCGGGGAAAGATCAGAAGGCGCCCAGTAAGAGGAACGAGGACACAAACAGGTCCGTCATCTTCCGCAAACTCATCATGAAGCACGTGCACCAACGCCTTTACCTGGGATTGGGCTTGCCATTTTGCAGTTGTGTTTGGCTACCTGGTACCGTATCATGTCTGTGGCCGAAAGGTTTTGGATGTTTCGTTATCTCGCACACAGCATTGCAGGTGTTCGGCCAAGAAGCAGGGTGCCTTCCCTCGCGCACGAGATTCCTGAATATTTTCCAAAAGTTTGCTCGCGCACGGCTTGTGCTGCTCAAAGTGTACTCTCGGATTGCTGCGCCAGCTCCAAAAATTGCAAGGGCCTCACCAAGGGCAGCAATCAAATTCATGGAGGCTGCCATGCACATGGCTCTTTTCAGTGAACTTGCTGGTGAGACAGCTGCTTTCTCGCCTCGACGAGGAGACACATGACCGCCGCCTCCAAACCCTCCAAAACGAGGAAAGCACCCCACGTGCCAGCCACACAGTGCTCGGTGCTCTCGGACCAAAACGCTGCGTGAAAGGATTTCGGAGCAACAGAGCGGAGAATCTCCCGCATACATTCAGTACCCCCCTGTATTCTTCAATCCAGTACAGTGCAATGCATACAAAACAGTACAATACAACACAAGACGTCTCTAGGGAGCACCCTCGAGGGTTTCCAAAGTGATGGTTCCTTATGTGCACAGCCTTCCGCGAAGAAAAGCTCTCCCAACAGCAAAAGATGTTAGGCTCCTGGGTCCTCATTGCACTTTAACAAAATTATTGGGGCTATATGGGGGTAATGGAAAAGAACATGGAAACTACTATAATGGGTAATATTAGGGTTACATCTGGGTCACATGGGGGTAATGGAAAAGAAAACGGAAACTACTATAATGGATGCTGCGACACTCTCTACCTTTCACAGCACCTTTCGCAAAACACTTTCACAGGCACTTAGATTCTGCAGTTCGAGGCTGCAGGGCTTGAAATCTTCAACGCTGCTCCTTTCAAGGATGACTCGGATAACTCCCAACTGTCAGTCTTTGTGGAAGAAAGATTTCCATCGGCCGGTACGTGTCTTCAGGCAATCTCGCCAAAAGTAGGCAGTGTTTGTACGGGGTCGATTTTCTGCTTCTGCGTTGGCTTTAGCCAAATGTGAAACGTACAATGCTCACTCCTCAGAACACATCTACGCATGAATCTTAACTGTGGAAGCAACAACAGTTTCAGATCTCATGGAACGCGGGCAATTCAAATGCCACTGCTCATTCAAAGGATGCGACATTGCCTGCCATGACCCGAAGCAGCAAGCATCACATGCTTTGCACGTCCATTCACAATAGTTTGATGACAGCTTGTCCCATGAAACCATGCCAGGAATTGCTGCTCGGCTGTGGTCTTGTGGAACTTTGCGATTTCTTCCGCAAAGCCTTTTCGAAGCCTGAGAAGAGCAAACGACTGCAAAGTCGCTGAAATAACATTCTCAAGTTCCCAGAATCGTCATCCAACTCTTCACTCAATGTAAGCTTCAGGCGCTGCTTCGCCAAGATCTGGTTCTTTGTCGAATTCCAGGGTAACTGGCGTAGGCCTGAAGACGCATTATGGACTGCTTTGGTGTGACATTCAGCTTGGTGCTTACAAAAGCAATGGCAAGGATATACCACTGCCAGCCCAGGGCGTGCATCCAATGGGCAGCCAATGATTTGCCGGCAGCGTGGAAGTCTGCTTGCAAGCAGACTACGACCCCAAGTACTGTTATTATCAGTGCTATGATCGCTACTATTAGTATTTCGCGAAACTATCCAGCCTCACAGAGTTCTCCCCCCCTCCCCCCCGTCCCCTCCTCCCCTACCCTTCAGGGTACCGGCTTGCGAACTCCTTCACTTAAGGCTCCATGAATGCGGCAACATGCATGCAACAAACAGTCTGAAGTGAGGCTTTCCTCCGTTACTCTCTCGACCCTAAACCCCAAGTGTCAACAACATGCCATGCCATGACTTATTCGTGTGCTCCGCGCCCCGCCAGCCGAGGCGGGCGCGCGATAGCGTTTATAATAGTACTATTAACGTTAGTAAAGTGAATGGGATCTGGAAGCTTGGCGCCGACATCATGCTTCTTGGGCCATCCCTGACCCTGAACTCCTGGGATCGCTGCGCCACCGTCTCGACTGATCTGTCCCGGATGTCTTTGAACAGTTCATGGTCGAGCGCTAGATCCTCGCCACATGTGAAAGTTATGGCACTTCTAGTTTTGCAAGCACTCCGTTGGGAAACCCTTAACCTTGTGCCTAGATACTAGTTGCCATTTTCTTTCCCGTTCTCCCTATAGAACTCCGCCAAAAAAAACCCTATAATATAGAACCTGGCGGGCATCCAAGTGCCCGACCACATTAACTCTTTCTTTCGGTGTGAACTTGAGCATCTTCCTGAGGCCGTTCCATTGCACTTGCTATCAACCTGCTGCCCCGCAGCACTCTTTTGCCGCGAGAACGAAGCAGTGCAGCATCCAACTAATTTCATATCAGAAACACGCACTAATGAACAAAAACTGCAGTGTGCACCTGCGGGTTCTGTGTAATGTAGACCCATGATTAATAAACCCCATCCTTTTAGAGGTCTAACTATTAGGAGCCCAATTATAATCCCTATTAAAGGGAGGGGGTTTATGAATCATGGGTCTACATTATTTACCAGCTCTACTTCCCTAAACCCTAAACCCTAAACCCCAAGCGCGCGGCTCTAACAAGTCCACAGAATCGTTGGGTGCGTCTGGGAAACGGCTTCGCCTGAGTTGGCTTGACCATGGGGGCCTCTTTTGTGTAAGGACCATACTTGGGGGGTCAGGGGGACTTAGTAAGTAGGTTAATAATGGGGATAAATTGGCTTACTATATGGGTTATAGTTATAGGGGTTATTAACCTACTTACTAAGTCTCCCTGACCCTCCAAGTAATCCGTACAAGTTGGCAGCATCTTGTGATTTCCCAAAATAAAGGGTTTAGGGTTTAGGGCTTTAATAAGGGGACCCGAACACAGACTCCAAAATACTATGATCCCTATTAATTACAGGCAGCCCCAAAGAAGTACCTCTAATTTGGGAAACCCCCAACCCTAAACCCTAAATCCCATACAACCCCTACATAAGCCCCATAAACACCTTTAAAGGCCAACCTAATTTGGGGAAATCCCCGTTTTGACCCATACTAAACCCTAAACCCTACGTAGTAGTTCCATGTTGTTTTCCATTGCCCCTGTAGAACCCCTATATAATTAGGATTATAAAGCCCATACCCTAAACCCTAACCCCTATGTAGCCTATAACAACCCTATATAACCCATATTAGGTTGGCCCCTAAAACCCATTGAACAATATTAGTATAATGGTCCCCTATTAAAGCCATTAGGGAAAATATTAAATATCCCAGGGGCCTACCCAGTACCCCAAACCCTAAACCCTAAAAGTAGTTTCCATGTTCTTTTCCATTATCCTCTATATACCCCCAATATACTATACTAGTTTCCATTTTCTTTTCCACTATCCCAATATAACCCCAACATAACCCATATTGGGAACCCATACTTTTGGGAAATCCGCGAGCCGTACACTGTGCTCAGCTCAGTGCACTCCCTTGCGCTCGCGTCTGGCCAGCGCTCGGATGTGCTGCTTGGCATCCTGTGTTCTGGCCCAACATTGGGGGGTACCTTAATAGGGGATTATAGGGTTATATGGGGCTATATAGGTGACAAAGGGTTTAGGGTTTAGGATCTCCCAATATTACGGGTACCTTTTAAAGGTCTCAGCAATAAGGGCTACAGGATTTTTGGAGTCTATATGAGCCATAGTCTAAACTCCATGCATCCCCGCCGTTGATAGCCCCTATAATTAGTAGTCCCCTATACAATCTCCACATGTAACCCCCCCTTTAGGAGTTTAGACTATGGCCCATATTAGCGTTACCATCTCAGGGACTTCTCGGCGGGTCCTGCTTCTTGTAGACCCTCCAACCACCCTCGGTTAAAGGCCCAAGTACCTACTACAGTACTAGAAGCCATAGAAGCCCAATAAAGGGTACAAGGAGGGTCCTGGTAGGTAGGACAAATCGGTTACCTAGCGTTCTTGACATTGCAACTTCGGCCACGGAAACGACTGCTGCAAGATCTCATCTCCTCCGTCTGCAGCTGGGCAATCTCTGCCTGTTGCAATGCATTTGCATGCCTTCACAGACCCTCTAAAGGATCCAAAAAAAATGGAACCCCCCCAATATGAACCCAGTACTACATTGGGGAAGCTGGGGGATTATGAGGGGTTTCCATTCTTGGATGCTTTAGCCCTTAAACCCTAAACCCTAATAACCCCTATAAGCCCCTTTTAGGGATTCCTTTTTTGGGATTCGTTGACTGAACAT